CCTGCACTATTTCAACTCTTGGAATTTTAGGAGGAAAAAAACCGCAAAAGACCACAGCCGTTGGGAAGTTTGTGAAGCCTAGACACGTGGTGGGCTCATGTGCCTGTCGGGTCCCATTTCGGCCAGCGGCTTCCAGGATAGAGCCCTACCAGGCACTGGGAGGACAGGCCACCAGGGGCTTCTGCTTCCCCACTTCGGCCCTGGATGCTTAGGGCAGAGACGCCCACACCTCTGTGTGTGTAATCCCCTCTTCACCCAGATGTACTGGGCCGTGCTGAGCTGGGAAGGGAAGAGAGGCAGGGATTCCAGAGAGCTGGATGCATCCAGGGTTCAGGGTTCGTGAGCTGCTGAAGACCCGGAGAGAACACAAACTTGGCTGCCAGGCGCAGGTGATTCCAGGCATCAGTGTCCCCTAGATGGACTATCAGAAAGTGCCCTGTCTCAGGAGTAGGGGTGAAAAAAGCTCTTTGACTGCAGCTTTTATTTTATGTTTTGCAGAACCAGGGATTGAACTTTGGTCCTTGTGCTTGCAAGGGAAGTGCTTATTCTACTGAACCAGCTCCCCAGCCCTGTTTGCAGCTTTTAGAAAAGCATTCTATTCGATCCCTGGGCCTGCCCTTCAGCCCCTTGTTCCCTGAGCGCTCTGAGAATGTGATTGAGACTGGGTGTGGTGGCACTTGCCTCTAATCCCAGCATTTGGGAGGTTGTAAATAGGAGAATCACTAGGAGTCCGATCTAGTAGTGAGACCCTGAACACCCTGTAGACCTTTCCCTAAAATACAGAAAAAAAAAAAAAAAAGAAAAGAAAAGAAAAGAAAAAAAAAGAAGAAAAGAAAAAGAAAAAAGTATTCCATCCCTGGGAGTATCCATGGAAACTGGGAAGTGAAGGGCAGTGTTTGTGAGCTGCTTGTGGGTGAGGAAGTGGCCAAGCAACTGTGTGGCCTTGGGCAAAGTAATCCACAGTGTAAAATCTCTGTACACTAGAAAGGCTGCTGTGTGCCTGGCATCGCGTCCCCATCCTTCACAGAATTTATCTCACGCTGTTAGCGCAATCCCACCCATACACCCGGAGCTTTCACTGCGTGGGCTTCCACCACCCTCATCTTGCCTTTGTCCTCCCTTCTTCCCTCCCCCTCCCTCCCTCTCATCCTCTTCCTCTTCTCTGATACGGTAATCACCCTTCTAGTTTTCAGGTCTTTTAAAAAAGTTTTTATTTTATTTTATTTTTTAAGAGAAAACGTGGCGATTATTTCTGAGTCTGTTTTATTTCACATGGCGATCATCTCCAGTACCATCCATTCCTTGCATATTCAATATGAGCACTGTTCTGTGTTAGTATATGTGCTAAAAAGAATGAAAATTAAAAAGCCCTGGGAATGCAGCTCACTGGCTGAGCACCTGTGGGTGAGACCTCTCGGACCATAAAAACAAAGCAAAGAAAATCCAATGAAGCCGAACCAAAATCCCTAAATGCACTTTGAACATCACAAAACATGCTTTAGTGTATCTGCGAAAGCTTCTTTATTAATTAGTTGTCTTCTTTTTTCTTTTTTCGCCGCAACCCCAGTCTTGCTAAGCAGCCCAGGCTGGCCTCCAGTGCTAGCCTCAGCCTCTCCAGGGCCAGGATTACAGCGTGCGGCACCATGCCGGGTCCTCCACACCACAAAAGTGCTGGCTTCTTCTCAGATCTTCATCCTGCCTCAGGGCCTTTGCGCCTGTCTGGAGCTCGCAGCTTTTCTCTTCTCCCTCCGAGCTGTACTTAGGGAAGCTTTGCAACCCTCACTGCCTCCAGTGTTTACAGGGGCACCGGTGCTTCCTCCACGTGAGCGAAGCTCTGTTTTGCTGTTTTCCCTCCCACACCTAACGGTGCCTGGCTTACAGGAGAGTGCTTAAGCGGCCTCAAAGGTAGGTGTCTCCTGGTAAAAGAAATTACAGTGTGTTTTGTGCACACTGCCACCTGCCCACGAGTAATGTAATCAGTATGTGCTATAGACCTGGATTAAAAAATTAAGAACGTAATAGCAGGTGTCTTGTAGAACCCAGCCAGGCCTCGTGGTTCGGGAAGGGCAGGGCCGGGAGCATTAGACGGCGAAAGAGGCTTTTGTCGCCGCCTAGGCCTGAGCCTTCCTGTGAAGCTCAGTCCCCTGCGGGGTGTGGCACCCTCTAGCCCTGGGAGGGCGTGGCCAGATCGCGGGGCGTGGCCACCACTTTTGGCGGGGTGCGGGGGCGAGGTGGGCGGGGTGCGGGGGCGAGGTGGGCGGGGCGGGTTCCGCCCGTCCAGGGCGCTGGGAGGGCAGAGGACAGAAGACGCCTGCAGCTGGGAGCTGAGCTTGGCGAAGCAGAGCTGGGAGCGCGGGGGCGCGGCGGAAGGCGGCGAGGTGAGATCGCGCCGCAGGCTACGCGGGCCCGGGCTGGACGGGATCCCAACCGGAACGCGCGGATCCCGGGACAGCTTGGGGAGATCGGGACGTAGTCGTGGCTTTAAGAGGACAGGGCAGGTGCCTACTATGGGCGTTTCAGGCCTGCAGCTCCCCCACATCCCCCAAACACAACAGGGAGGTTTATTACCTGCTCACGGCAGAGCAGCTCCGCCCACCGCGTCCCCCTTAAATCCCTGCTAAGTCTTTCTGAGAATGATGGACTCGGGCCAGGAAGAGCCGAGAAACTGGGGTCATGGGTGGTCTTGATCCTGGGATCCTGGGAGGACAGAAGGCTGGAATGGGCAAGGACATAACCTCCACCTCTTGGAGGAAAGTGACAGCACCTGGGGAGAAGCCCTTGGGTCCAAGACCAGTGCTCAGAGCTCCGGTGGGACACCTGAACTTGGCCTGGAACTGCTTTCGTGGGCTGTCTGTTAACCTGGCCTTTCTGCCTAACCAGAGCCTCTGTGACCCTGGGACTTAAGGCGAGGCTGGGGAGCAGGAAGGTGGCTGGGGAGCTGCCTATCCTGCAAGTGGACAGATGCGAGGCAGTGTCACACATAGTTTGGGAAGGGACTCACGTGGTACTGAACTTTCATCTGTGTGCCTCCGGGGATAGAATGCTTCTCCAGCCTATGTGCTGCACACTCAGCCCCATGCCACCTGCTGTCACTCCAGTGTCTAGAAAAGAGTTCTCCCAGGCGTGCCCCAAGTGGTCAATGAACTACACGCCTCCATTTCACCCAGGAGGACACCCAGATCCACCAGGGCGGCCCTTGCCCAGAACTACCCAGCCCTTAAGTGATAGAGTAGGCTGACTGGGTCTTTGGTGGAGCAATAAATAAGCCAGGATCCAAGTGCACGCTATGGGAGACATAGTAGGAGGGTTACAGGGAACACAAAGTGACCAGCTCCTGGGAGGGGGGACCTAGCTGTTGGGTACAGGAGTGTATATATGACCCTTAAGGGTACTGCAGAGTTGCCTTCTCCTGGGGCATGAAAGGAGACTGTCCTGTGTTCAGATTGACTCTCCTTTGGACATTGGCTTTCTTTTTTTTTTCCTTCTTTAATTTTATGTGTGTGTGTGTGTGTGTGTGTGTGTGTGTGTGTGTGTGTGGCCAGCTCAGCCCACCAGGGGGAGGGGCTGGCATGTGGTGCTGGGGGATTGAACTGTGGTCCCTGTGCTTTGCTAAGCTTGTTCTAAGTAGGTGCTTTAGACCACTGAGCCATCTCACCAGCCCCGACATTGGCTTTCTTTAGGGTACATTTAGGGTGTGTTTGCTGGAGGGCTGGCCACAGAGTGCCTGCTGTCAGCCTGACCCCCTACTGTAAGGGAGGGCGGCTGCCTGCCCTTTCCCCTCCCCCAAGTGGAAGAGGGGACTGTCACATCCACACCAGGATTCAGTGGCCTTCTCTTCCAGGACAGCCACTCGGGCTGCTAAGGTCCAGTGTTGACACCTGTCTTCTGTGTAAGCCAATGCGACTCCAAAGAGGCATGCCGCGCCTGGGATCTTTCTGAGGCAGCATGAGGGTGAACCCACAGGGCTCCTTCTGTGTCTTCTGAGGTTTGACCTCTCAACAGCTTCAGCAAATGCCACTTCTTCATTTCTCAGTGGGTTCCTACAGACCTCTTATTAAAGGCGAGTCCCCCTGGCATAAGGCTGGATGTCAGACTGAGAAAACTCAAGTGTAAAATCATATCATGTGAGTGTGTTGCCAGTCAGTAGCAGGTTCTTTGCTGAACTTGGATAAAAATCATGAATTGGTGCAGTGCAGCTCTGCTAGCAGCTCTGGGCTGTGTGTGTGTGTGTGTGTGTGTGTGTGTGTGTGTGTGTGTGTAGTGGTTAAGTTACCCAGAAGTTTCTAGATGAAGTTTGTTTTGTTTTCTTGGGCCTTCTTTTAAGCTAAGATTCCTGAAGCCAAGAAGATTTAGAAGAGTCTTAGACTTCCTTCCTGGCCTTTGATATTCAGTTTGGAATTTTTTTTTTTTTTTTTTAATGTATGTGGTACAATGTCTTGATACATAGTTTGGACTTGTGGTGATCCTCCTGTTTCCAGCCTCCCCAGTGCTGGGATTACAGGTGTGTGCCACCACACCTGGTGTTGGCTGCTTGCTCAGTGTGCCCTGAGGTGGGGCCCGTGAGGCATGTGATACCAGGGATCAAACCCTGGTCCCTGTGCTTGCCTAAGCAGGCCCTTAGTCTGCTGAGCTATCTTGCTGGCCTCTCAGCTTAGAATTAGACGGGTGGGTCTGGCAATTCCTCAAAAATGAAACTAGCGGGGCTAGATTGCACACCTGTAATCCAGCACTCAGGAGGCTGAGGCAGAGTATCACTGTGTGTTTGAGGCCACCCTGGGCTGTAGAGTTGGTCCAAGATCAGCCTGAACTACATGTGTCAAAAAAAAAAAAAAAGGAAAATAGCAGTTACAGAATGACTCAGCAGTGTCGCATCTCCAGGCTTCCAGGACTGCTTGAGAAAGTGGCCAAAAGGGTGGGATGAGAGTGCTCAAAGCAGGGCCAGTATCTGGATTGGGATTAGTGGCAATGTGCCTTTCAGTATAGTACATTTTTGTTGTTGTTTTTTGGAGATGAGTTCATGTCCAGGCTGGCCTCAAATTCAATGATCTTTCCTCTGCCTTAGCCTTCCAAGTGCTGGAATTACAGGTATGTGCCACCATGCCTGGCTTCTATAATACATTTAAAAAATCTTGGTCAGGCATAGTGGTGCACGTCTGTAATCCCAGCACTTGGAAGGCTGAGGCAGGAGGCTCATTGAGTTTGAGGCTAGCTGGGCTATGTAGTGAGTTCAAGGCCAGCCTGAACTACATAGTGAGACCCCCATCTCAAAACAAAAACAAAAACAAACAACCACCCTGAAAACATTTACCATGTTTTTGATTATCATTTGTATCTTAAAAAATTAGATGTGATGGTTTTATCTCATTTTATTTATTTTTTAATGAATTTTTTGTTTGTTTGTTTGTTTATTTATTTTGTGTGTGTGTGGCCAGCTCAGCCCACCAGGGGGCGGGGCTGGCTGGCATGTGGTGCTGGGGGATTGAACCGCGGTCCCTGTGCTTTGCTTGGCTTAGCTTGTTCTAAGTAGGTGCTTTAGACCACTGAGCCATCTCACCAGCCCTGGTTTTATCTCATTTTAAAAGCTTTATTGTTTCTGTAAAAATGGTACATATTTGTTTAAAAACAATTTAAACAAAATGAAAAAGCTCAAGAAAGATGAAACAAATCCATCCTCGTCAGTAATCACTAGTATTTTGATTCAGAGCAGAGGTCCCTCTGATGAGTGGTGGAAGAGTTGTCAGACTTTTTCCCAAATGGGGAGAACCCCCCACACCTATTGAACGTGCAGACGTAGGTGAGAGCGCAGCAGGTCCCTCCAGTGTCTTCCTCCACGAGTGTGTCCCTGCCTGTTAATGTGTGTCTGTTGCCTGACTTTTTCATATAAAAATGTCATTCATTCCTTAAAAATAAATAGCAAAGGGGGGGGGAAACCAAGAAAACAAACAAGAATAAATATGAGAAACTGCAGACAGCTCCACTGCGTGGGCGTATATGAGCTTATCTGGGAATCTTCCACTGACAAAGTTTCCGGTTGGAGCCTCCCATTGACTGCGGGGGGCTTCCCACGGCCACCAGGGCAGCGAGCACAGGGACTCGATGTTCACTCCTTGCACACATGTGTTCTAAGTGCCTACCAGGGTGCGGCTGGAAATGCAGGTCTGTGGCTGAAGCCCTTGGATTAAGTATCCGACAAAGTAGGTCTTGGCCTGGCAGAGGGGAGTCCAGCTGCCCCAGGGGCCAGGCAAGAACTGATGTGGGCAGAGCCAAGGGGAATTGGTGTGTCCAAGAGTGTTGGGCAAGGGCTCCTGCTGAAGGGTGGAATGTGCTGAACAGTGCGGGCTGCTGGATGTCCCCAAGCTAGGGTGTCAGAGGTCAGTGGAGGAGAGAGAAAGTCAGACTGCAGAAGAGGCCTCAGGCAGCAAGGGTGTGACAGACTGTCCCTCCCCTGGCCCTTTTCTAGTGTCTCCAGAGGCCTGATGCATTTGGGCCCTGCCCTGGTGTCCACTGGGAACTCAGAGAAGCGGTTTGCTGTCCTGGGGGTGGGAGCGCACCTAGTTGCTGAGGCCAGGGTGTGCTTTGAGGTCAATAGGCTGATCCTGGGCCAACTCACTGGCTGTGAGGCCTGCCTGGGGAAGGGTGGCTTTCTCTTGCCAGGGAAGGAGCCCCATGAGGGGCCTGGGCAGGCTTGCGTGCCCACCTAGTGTTAAAGCTGCCCTCCATGACGTCTGTGCTAGCATCTGCCCCTGCCCTCCTCACCTCTTTACCTTTCTGCAGCATGTGTCTTAGCTGCTCCTGCCCTGCCCTGCCTGCCTGGGCCTCTGCCCTATGCTGTCACCTCTGCTGGGAAGACTCCTGCCCCCTAACTTTTATTCAGGTCTCTAGGGTGTCCTCCTTGGGCCTCCCTGGGTAGTCCTGTGTGATCTTCCTCAACTTCCTCATCAAGCTGAGCCCTTCTTTTGGTGCTTGTGCCCAGCCTGTTTGAAAATGGGGTTTTCTGTTTGTTTTCCCAGCCTTCTTACTGGCTTCCAGTCCAAGGGCAGGGCCTGACACAAAGGGACGCACGCTGGGGGGGCAGGTGACATATGCGCCCCCTGGCCTGCCTCATCACCTCCCTGGTCCAGGCCCTCCTTGGCTCTGGGTGTCCATTTTTGCCTCTGACTGGGACCATGCACCCTCCTGGGTCCTGACCCCCAGGAGATAGGCTCCTAGTGGCCCAGTTGGCAGCCTGATGCATACTTGGGATCAGTTCTGGACAGCCCTTGTGAGAATCCGAAGGTCACATTGTGCCCTGGGGGACTTGTCCTGGTCCTGGCCCTGGCCCTGCCAAGGTGGGTCGCTCAAGCCTCAGTGTACAGGTAGGGGGGCATCTGACCACCGAGAGAGAAACAACTCTAATCCCCACCAGTCCCCTGGGCCTGGCCTGCCCAGGGCAGAAGTTGGACCGTGGGTATTTGAACACTGATAGAAACAGTGCCCGGAGTTCTAACCATAAGTCACCCCTCTAAGTGGTGTGGGAAGCTTTAGGAAGCATCTCCTGGGCAGCCTGTCTTGGAACCTGTGTGTACAGGAATAACTCAGGGTGTCAGCTGGTCAGGCCTTATAATCTTATCAAGTTATAGAGGGTAAATTGAGGCCCAGAGAGGGAGTGGGTCATGTGCCCGCCAAGCAGAGGATCAGGGCAGCATGGAGGTTTCCAGCGCCACAAGGCTACCCAGGAGGGTCTCAGGTGGGCTGGCACATGCTCCCCTTGAGGCACAGGCTCATTTCCTCCCTCCATGACACCCTGTGTTCCCCCTTGGCCACCTGCTCCTTGAAACGCACAGGGCTGTGGAGTCTTTCTGGCTGCTCTCTGCAGAGCCAGCTTTGGGTCTGTCCTCGCTGGTTCCCCAGCACCTCCGCCTGTGACTAGGCAAAGGCCCAGAGGAGGTTTGGTTGCCTGTCCCCCTAGCCAGTGTCCCTAACAACCTGCGACTGCTCCCAGCATCTGGGCTGTAGTTGGATTGTCCCTTGGCTGGGCTCTGAGGCCCCTCCCCCGTCAGTGAGCCTGTCTGCCTGTCTACCAGCCACATACTGTGTGCGTCCTCTGGGGTAGGCTGGGCTGGAAGGCAGATCCCACAGCTACAGCCCCAGCCCAGGGTCTTGGCCGCCTGAGGTTGGACGCTGGATGTGCAGGTGGCCCTGTCCATGGCTCCCAGATGGAACCAGGGAGCTGGGCAGTTTTGCTGCTTTTCCTTCTGTGTTTAGCAGTTTAGCATCCAGTGACCCAGCCCAGCCCTTCCTCTGTCTCCAGTGGCCTCAGCTCCTGGCTCTGGGCCAAGAGTGCCTGGAGTTTAGCTCCTTGTGGTCAGGCTGTGCCTGTGAGTGGCAGCCTGGGCCACCCCACCTCTGACCGTGTGCCCAGCAGGCAAACCCTGATTGCCATCTCACCCCTCACTGTGGAGCCTACCTGATGGGCCTTCTCCCCCAACCTTCTCTTTTTGTCTTTTTGAGACAGGGGTCTCCCTATGCTGTTCAGCCTGGCCTTGAGCTCACTTTGTAGCCCAGGCTGACCTTGAACTCCCAGAGTGATCCTCCTACCCTAGCCCCCGAGTGCTGATTGTACAGGTGTGTGCCACCATGCCTGGCCCCACCTTCTTTTAAAAAATTATTTATTTATTCATCTGATATAGGGTCTCCCTGTGTAGCTTGGACTCATAGTGATCCTTCTGTCTCAGCTTCCTCAGTGCTGGGATTACAGGTGAGCGCCACCACTCCCAGTTTCAAGATGGGCAGGGTGTGCCTGCAGTTCCAGGTTTCCAGGCCAGCTCAGCATGTGGTACTGGGGATGAAACTCAGGTCCTGGTGCTGGCCAGGCAGGTGCTTAAACCACTGAGGTATCAGCCCCAGCCCTCCACCCTCTTTCTTATTGGCAGACATCCTTCAAGATTTCTCCCAACAGGCTTTTCTTCCTGTCTCCATCTTTTGGAACATATCCGCTAGCTGTTCTAGGAATGCTACAGTGGAGGCCCGACCCCTGACGGTTCCTCCCACCCCACTGTCTCATTTCACATAGCATCTATCTCGGTCCATTTGTGCTGCTATTACAGTGCCAGACTGGGTAAAATTTGTTTCTTTTGCAGCACAGGGTGATTGAACCCAGAGTCTTTTATTTTTTTAATGTATTTGGTTTTTGCAGGGTCTCACTGCATAGCTCGGGCTTGTGATCCTCTTGCTTTCAGCCTCCCCACTCAGTACTGGGATCACAGGTGTATGCCACTACTCCCGGACTCTGGCTGGCTCAGCCCGCCCTGGGGGTGGGCCTGGTGCAGCCCTGGGTGCTGGGGATTCAACTGCTGTCCCTGAGCTTGCCTAAGCAGACACGTTAGTCTGCTGAGCTATCTCGCCAGCCCCTGAACCCAGAGTCTTAGTGCTGAGCTATGTCCCTAGCCTACCTCCACTGCCCAGACAGGATCTCACTAAGTTGCTGAGTTGTCCAGGCTGCACTGGAACTTTCACTCCTCCTGCCTCGGTCTCCTGAGTGCTGGCATTATGGACAGGCATGGGTCCCCATGCCCGGTGGCCTTGAGGGCTTTTATAATTGCCATTTACCTGTCATTCACAGATTCACCTTCATGACCCAACCATCTCCCATCGGGTCCCAGTGTTGTCACATGGGAAACTAAATTTCCAGTGCTGGCCTTTTGTGGGCCGTGCAGGATGCTTGTCACACCCTGCTAATGGACTTCTTCAGGTGTGGGGGCTCGACCTGGTGACCTGTGGATGTAGTGGGAATCTGATGGCAGTGTTTGCCTAGCACAAGGCTTAGAGTCCTCTTCCCCTTGGCTGTGCCCTGTGCTGCTGTGGTGGGCTGACAGCTGGTGGTCCACTCGGAGCTCCCAGCTGAACTGAGCCAGCATGACGTTGGGTGTGGGAGGCCCACCTGAGGACTGCTGCCGGCAGCGTTAGAGGCAGAGCTGGGGAAGAGGAGGGAGGCTGTTGGGAGCTGGTCAGAGCTGTTGGGAAGCCCTTAGGGAGCTGCTTGTTTCCTTGGGCATTTTGCTGGCTTTCCTGATGAACTTGGCTGTTCTCATCCTCGGAGGAGCTCGGAACCTCACTGTTGCTGTGTGGTCCTTTTCTGAGGGCTCTGGTTCTGACCTTACGTGACCCTTCCTGGCTCCAGGGCAGATCCCTCAGCCTGCTGGCCCCGTTCCTTCATTCCACTGGCACAGGTTTTGTAGCTTCCACCACTGACCTTTGGGCTTTCCCAGCATAGCTCTGTGAAATGGGCCTGCATGAGACATTGTCGTGAGCTCTTACCCTCTGGCTGGATTCATGGGGATCATTTCCATGGGCTCTAGGCCTTCAGCTGGACTCTTGCAGGACATTGCCATGGAATGCAGGCCCTCAGCTGCAGTCTTTGGTTTTCAGTGTATGGACAGATGTCCTGCACTCTTCATATATGATTCTTTGGGTGATTCATTATAAATTTATTGGTGCTGGGGAAATAGCTCAGCACAATAAGCACATGCCTGGCAAGCGCAAGATCCTCAGTTCAATCGCCAGTGCCACAAAAAACAAACAAACAAAAAAATTAAAAATAAATAAATAAATTAATTGATTTATTTATTTTGTGGTACCAGGGATCGAACTTGGGACATTGCACTTGTCAGGCAGGCGCTTATGTCACTGAGCTATCTCCCCAGCCCCAAAATAATCTATTATTTTTTCCTGTATTTTAGGGAAGGGTCTACAGGATGTTCAGGGTCTCGGTCTCACTACTAGATTGGATTCATAGTGATCTGCCTGTTTACAGCCTCCCAAGTGCTGGGATTATAGGCGCGCACCACCAGGCCCAGTCTCAGTCGCAGTCTCAGTGCATCCTGGAGGCGGGGCCGGCACAGCCGGCCCAGGGATGGAACCCCCAGCCCGTGTGTCTGCTTGGGGGGTGCTTTAATCCTCTGAGCTATTTGGCCAACCCCTCCAAAATAATCTTATAAAATGTGTCCTGTATTGTATCCTCCCTCCCCCGTTGCAAAGCCCCGAGCTACAGCAGCTGGCCAGTTGCTGTGCCAGCCCCACACTTGGTGCTGCCCAGCCGCAGCTTCCACATCTTGGGCACCACAATCTTCTCCTCTGCAGGCTCCATCCGTCTTTGCTAGGGCAGGGCTCCTGCCTGTCCGGCCACTGGGTGCACAGCAAGAGCACACCAGAGAGCTGGAGCTCAACATGTGTATGTTGTTAAGTGGTCATTACTTTCTTACCATTGTTGATGAAATATAGTGGGTAAAAGAAATGGGCACAACCATTTTTAATTTTAATTTCTTTTTTGTTGTGGGAGCTACTGAGAACTGAATCTAGGGCCTTTACATGGTGTTATATCCCAAGCAGTTTGTATTTTTATTTTATTTTTTTAAATTTTTGTATTTGGTACAGTGTCTCACTACACAGCTCCGACTCAGTGATCCTCCTGTCTTCAGCCTCCTCAGTGCTGGGATTACAGGTGTGTGCCACCACACCCAGATTGGGTCACAGCTCAGTGTGTCCCAGGGGCAGGGCTGGCCCAGCATGTGGGGACCAGGGTTCGAATCCTGGTCTCTGTGCTGGCCAAAGCAGTTGCTCAGTTTGCTGAGCTATCTTGCCGGCCTTTGTATGTTTTATCTGAGGCACAGTCTCACTAGGCTGGCCTTGGATTTACAGTCTTGCCTTGATGACCGTAGGTAAGGAGGGTGTTTCTGGAAAAGTTCACATAGTCCTGCTAGCAGCGGAAGCCTCTGGAGGAGGGAGTGGGGGCCGAGGGCTGGGCTGGATGAAGGATAACCTGTCCGAATTTAATTTAAATATCCCAAAACTGATATTTCACTAATGAAAGATTAAGCTGTCCTGAAAAGGCCAACTCACGGCCTGGGAGGTGAGGCGCCTCTACCAGGGCTACCCCACCTTCCCTGCCCCTGACTTCAATCTGGTCTCTTCCCAGCCCAGCGACACCTGATTCAAGATGGGGTCCCAGGTCTCCGTGGACACAGGAGCTCTGCACGTGGTGATCGTGGGCGGGGGCTTCGGCGGCATGGCGGCTGCCAGCCAGCTGCAGGCCCTGAACTTGCCTTTCACACTGGTGGACATGAAGGACTCCTTCCACCACAATGTGGCCTCCCTCAGGGCCTCTGTGGAGAGTGGTAATGTGTTCCTTTCCTGGGCTACCTTTGTGACATGGTCTTTCATCACTTTGGGACATGATTTGTACCACTTAGGTGGATTCCCAGCTGGGCGTGGTGGCACATATTTATAATCCCAGCACTCTAGGAGGCTGAGGCAGAGGAATTGTAATTTGAGCCTAGCATGGGCAATTTAGAGATTTAGTAATAAGAGGCTTTCTCAAACTACAAGAAAAGGGTTGTGGCTGGGGATTACCATGGCCCAATCCCCAGTAACACACACACACACACACACACACACACACACACACACACACATTTTGGAGAATCTCACAGTTCTTGGGCTTAAGCAGCTATCTTACTGAGGCCCTGAAATGAGAGTGTGGGCTTTTCCAAGGACCCAGGCGAGCTGGGCACTTGGGGGGCAGTGAGCTTCTGGGTACACATGCTAGCTCAGCTCTAGTGGGGTACCCTGTTGGCAGCCAGCTCAGGCATATGCTGTACTGTCTTCCTTTTCATTCCCAGGGTTTGCCAAAAAGACTTTCATTTCCTATTCTGTGAGCTTCAAGGACAACTTCCGGCAGGGCCAGGTGGTCGGGATAGACCTAAAGAATCAGACGGTGCTTCTGCAGGGGGGCGAGGTAAGCATGCAGAGTCCAGCCGGCTGGAGCCCCCCCCCCCCCCCCCCCCCCCCCCCCCCCCCCCCGGTGGAGAGCGCCATCCCTGAGGCCCAGGCTTGCGTGGTGCATCGCAGACCGAGGCTTTACCATAGGGAGTCTCACTTTACAGAGAAGTTAAGGGATTGCTAAACCCTTGCCGAAAGCCCCTAGCTGATGAGTGTTGCAGCCAGGATTTGAACCTAGGCAGCTTCGGCCCAGCACCCAGGACCCAAAAGCCAGTGTCCCAAGTGAGGCCCAGGCCTGGTCAGTGTGGAGGCCACCCCTGGGCTCGGGAGGTTGGTGGGCAGACATGACTTTCACTCATCTTTGTGTCCCTGCAAGGACTGGAGCCCATCCACATGTGGCTCCTACCCACATAGCTCATGGGCTGCTCTGTCCCCTGCTCAGTTGTTCAAATTAAAGGCAACCGGAATGGAGACAAAGCTGGACACTGTGGCGCATGCCTGTGATACCGTCATTTAGGAGGCTGAGGCAGGCAGGTTGCTCTGAATTCAAGGCCAGCCTAACAGCAAGACCTTGTCTAAAAAAAAAAAAAGGTGGGTAGGGCACAGTTCCTGCCCTGAAGGAGCCCAGGTGCTTTTGGGTGAACTAAATTGGTCATCCCTGAGTTATTTTTGGGTCAGGGAATCTCCTGATTGGAAAGACAATTGCATGCCTCCTGCTCCTGTCATTTTGGGCTATGCTTCTTGGAGCCTTAGGGCCACCAGTGTATCTCTGGGCTCCATGGGGGAAGAGGGGTCTGCGCAGTCCAGACTCACTGGCCCCCTTCCCACTGTTTTGCCACTGTTCATGCATTTAGATTGCAAACCAGCCTCCCACGGGCTCCCTTTCTTCCCCTCATCCTCCTCCACAGTCCCCTTTCTCAGGGGTGGGGGAGGGGGTTCTTCTGAAACACCCAGGAGATTCTGAACTCTTCCACAATGAATGAGTTTTCATTAATTCCCCATAGCAGTTTCCTGTTCCTCACTGACCTCCTGAGGTCCCATGGCGGCTGGCTCTGTGGCCCAGGCTTTTCTAGGTGGAAATAAAATTGGGGCTTTTGTGCCATCCTCGGCCTGTTGGTGTGCTCTCCTGCCTCCTCACAGGGCAGATTCCTTGGAAGCCAGGGCCCTCATCCACCAGTGCTGCTGGGCCCTGCCCTGTCTTACCTGCCTTCTCTCTCCCTGGTCCCCCCACAGGCCCTGCCCTTCTCACATCTCATCCTGGCCACAGGCAGCACTGGGCCCTTCCCTGGCAAATTTAATAAGGTTTGCTGCCAGCAGGCTGCCATCCAGGCCTATGAGGACATGGTGACACAGGTGAGCTGCCGCTGATAGGTGTGGGGCAGGGACAGCTGAGGTGACAGCAGGCTGGGCTGGACTGCTGCTGGTGTGGACTTCAGAGAGGCAGAGGAAGCTGGGAAGTTGGAGAGTTGCTGGGAAGAGATTTCCTGGGAGAAGCCTGGAGCCCATTCCTGCGGCTGGCCAGGCACGCTGGCTCCCCAGACCTGCGTGGTGTCCCCACTCCTGCTTCCTGAGGTCTCTTTGCATTCACACAGGGCTGTGGATTTTGCAGGGTAGATTCAGCTCCCAGTATCAATCAGTTTTCACAGCAGTCTTGTGGGGCAGGCAGAGGAACCCCAGTATAGAAACAATGTTCCCTACTTTTTTGGCCAAGGACTCTACTTGGTTGCTGCCACCAGGTGGTGGGAGGTCTGGAGGTGTTTCACCATCTCTTTGTTCCCAGGTCCAGCGCTCAGAGTTCATAGTGGTGGTGGGAGGAGGCTCCGCTGGAGTGGAGATGGCTGCGGAGATCAAAACAGACTACCCAGAGAAAGGGGTGAGGCTGCCTTCCGCTGAGTCGGCTTCTTCCTGCTTTACCTTCTGAACATTAGGAATTTGCCCAGGGCAGGGACGGAGCTCCACACACTTCAGCTGAGTGTGTTTCCCATCTTGTGCTGCAGCTCGATTCTACAGGAAGTTTTCCCTGAGAGCCAGGATCTCTGATCTTATAGATCCACTGTGACTGTCCCCAACCAGGAAGGAGCTTGCCTTCTGGTCCAACAGGGAAGATGAAGCCCACGGAGAGTCCTTACAAAGATGACTTCCTGGGTCCCTTAAGAATTCAGGCTTTTGTGATAAAACCTGGAGTTTGATCATCTCTTCTGTTGGTGGCCAGTTTGGCCAGGCTGGGCAGAACATGGTGGTCCATGCCTGTGGCATTTGGGAGTGACTGCTCATACAGGGTGGTGCTGGCCTGCTAGGACCCTCCTGATGCTTGGTGAGGGCTGAAGGGTGGTGGCCATGTGGGCCTGCAGGTCGGAGCTTGCTTACTGCGCATGCAGGCTGCCTGCTGAGAGCCCCTGCCGCCTGGGCATGGCTTTTCCCCCCAGGGAAAGACAGATTGGTTTTGAAAGGAAAAATTAATCATAACTAATAGAATTATATGACTGTTCTCTGACAAGTTGTTGGAAATTATGAGTGGTTGAGACAGTTGCTGGTTCTTCATTTTGATTTATAAGAGTCGTGTAGGGAAAGCCTACTTACTCACTGTGCTTGTACTCAACACTTCAGTGACAGGCTGTGTGGGGTTTGTGTCCACAACAGCCAGTTCTCTGGCACCAACTGCAGGTGCTACAGTCCAGCCCAGTTCTGATGCTGTCTGTAGTTAGCGCAGGCCCTTGGGTCAAGGGCTCAGTCACATATGACAGGCTGGGGAGATAGCTCAGTAGAATAAGCGCTTCCCTGGCAAGCCCAAGGCCCGAGTTCAGTCCCCAGTTCCACAAAAAAACAAAACACAAAACATATGACAGTCCCCGCTCAGATGCCAGTGGCGAGTAGTAGGTCTTAGCCACCTGCATTTCTGTCTGAATTGCCTAGAATTCAGAAGTTGCAGAGCTGGAGAGAGAGCTTGGCGGTCTAAGCCCCTGCCTGGCAAGAGCAAGGACCTGGGTTCGATCCCTGGTACTGTATGCTGTGCCTGTCCTGGAGGCTGTGGGTATGCTGTGCTGGCCACTGGAACAAAGTGTGGTGGTGCGTGCCTGTAATCCCAGTGTTGGGGAGGTTGAGACAGGAGGATCACTACGAGTCCGAGCTATGTAGCAAGACCCCGTGAAATAAGACATTTTTTTATTTTCATTTTTTTATGTATTTGGTACAAGGTGTCACTACACAGCTTGGACTCATAGTGATCCTCCTGTCTCAGCCTCCCCAGCACTGGGATTATAAGCATCCACCACCACACCTTGTTTCAGTAGGATTTAATCAAATCCTCAGGATTAAAGTGCCTGTAAGCAGGCACAGAGGCCTGGGGTTCAATCCCCCGGGCCTGCTATGCCAGCCCCGCCCCCAGAGTGTGCTGAGATGAAAATTAAGACTGGGCATGGTGGTACGCGCCTGTAATCCCAGCTCTTGAGAGGCTGTAAACAAGCAGATCACTTTGAGTCTGATCTAGTAGTGAGACCCTGAACACCCTGTAGACTCTTCCATAAAATTAAAAAAAAAAACAAAAACAAAACCTTTATCTGTATGCCTGTGCTTAATAGGAAAATTAGAGTACCATGGCTGCTGCTCTGTCCTGAGTAACTCTTGTGCCTTTGGGAGATGTGTGAGTCTCAGATTTGGGATGTCAACTCCGGGAGTCTGATTCAGAGCCGGCTTTGGACATGGTCACAGGCTCCCGGAGCCCCCTTGTGCTGACCCAGGCGGGCAGCAAGCAGACCCAGATACACTGCTTTCAGAACTAGCTGTGATGCCCCGCGAGCCTGCTGGAAGTGGGAACGCCTGAGCTTATACAAAGGTCACCTAGTTGTAAGCACTCAAGGATGCTTGGAAGCAGTGGCCAAGGTGGCCCTGGCTAGGTGTGGGTGGTGGCCCACTGGAGCCATGGGTGGCCGTCCAGCTGGCCCAGGGGCAGCAAGGTGGTGCTGAAAGAGTTGTAGGCTAAGTGATGTGGTAGAGCCCGGCTTCTCACTAACTGGTTCTAGTGCTGCGCAGATGGACTTGGCTTCCTCTGCAGCCAAGTGGAGGCGGGGGAGGGGGTGAATGGTCCCTGGAGCTGGATTCTTAGGGCTTGTCCCGTGGCTGTTTTGTCCCCAGGTCACTCTCATTCACTCCCAAGTAGCCCTGGCCGACCCTGAGCTTCTGCCCAGTGTGCGGCAGGAAGTGAAGGAGATCCTCCTCCGGAAGGGCGTGCGTCTGCTGCTGAGTACGTGGGACCTTGCCCCCCTCCCTCTTTGCCACTGTATGCAGGGTTTATCATGGAGGATGGGAAATGATTTTGAGCATCAGAACCCAGGTGAACCTTGTCCAGCTGGAGGCCTGGGTCGTGGCGGCAGCAGTGGTGACTGTTACTTCAGGTGCAGGACAGATAGCGGGTGCCTATTAGCTGAATGATATTTTTTAAGTGCATCTAAAGGAGTTGCCCCTTATTTTTCTATCTTTGCAGTAGAGGGAGTGGGTTTGTATTTTGAGGGTAGTGAGTGTAGCTTTTGTCCAGGGCTGTGACGCCTATGCTGGGCCTTGTCCTCCTGTTTGTGGAGAGGTTGGGAGATGGGGCATCTGTTATGGCAGTACCTCGTGGCTGTCACAGCCCCCTGTGCTAACTGGTCATGGAAGACTGCTGGTCCCCAGCAGGGCTTGAAGGCAGGCAGGCAGGTTCCGCCTCTCTGCTGTGCCTTTGTGGATGGTGGGTGGGAGGTGACCCTGCACAGACAAGGGAGTGGCTGTTGCTCAGGAATGTGTGCTGGGGCCTTTTGCTGAATTTCTTGGAAGCTTGGCCTTGCTGCCCTCTGGCCAGCTCTTGGAATTTTCCTCCAGTTGGGTCCTTGGGGCCCAGATGCCCACTTGTGCCTCTGGGGTGGTGGAGGGGACTGAGGAGGAGCCAGTGGCAGCCTTTTGCTCCTGGTCCCCCTGCCAGGTGAGCGGGTGAGCAACCTGGAGGAGCTGCCGCTTAGCGAGTATCGGGACTACATCAAAGTGCAGACGGACAAGGGCACCGAGGTGGCGACCAACATGGTGATTCCCTGCATTGGCATTAAGATCAACAGCTCTGCCTATCACGGTACTTTTGGTAAGCAGGAGGCCCAGTCCCGGTCTGTGTCCAAATCGGCCTGCCCGGCCTTTTTCCTTCATCCTGGCAGCTCCCTCTCTTCTACTTGGTGACCTTGAACTTTAATGTCAAGTTAGGGTTCCTGCTTGGGGATTTTTCCGCAGCTGTGATAATGGCTTAGTCCAACGTGGTCTGAGATCAAAAGGATTCAAATTTAGGACTGCCTCCTGGTGGTCAGAGATATGAACAGTCTTCAGAGTGCTAAGCAAGATTCCATTCCACCTGTACTTTCCTTTTTATGTGGATATGGAGGCAATTCTGGGCCAGGCCTTTCTCAGTTCAAAAGTGTCCTGGTCACCCCAAATCCAGATATTAGCTTCCAAGACCATTTAGGGGGTAGGGGTTGTATTGTGGCCTCATTTCTTAAAACACAGCATTCATCTGTTTAGCTTGTAGATGGAGGCCTGCTGGACTGATGCATATTTAAGCCTCTGTGTGTGAGCAGGAGACGCAGTGGTCAGGCTCTGTGGCTGCCTCATCCCTGGGTTGCTGTATTTATTTCTAAGCAGCTTTCTCCAACCAGGAGCTCCTGCTTTGCATCCAGCAGAAGTGATTGTAGCATGCCCTGGAGGCCAAGCTGCACACCAGGGCAAGCTTATAATGGATCGTGAACCCAGAATTCAGCACTTCATGATCCTAATTTGTATTTTCAAAGATGAGTTCTGTTGAGTCCCTTGAAAAGAAAAGCAGTTGATTATAGATTTAAAGGCCTGTGCTTATTTTAAAGTCTAGTAGTCTATGATCAAGTGGAAATTTAGGACTTGGCCAATATAAGTGGCCAAGCTCTGTGCTTGTCCTGAGGTAAGTGTGCCCTTGCAGGAAGGGTGTGTATGCAGGAGCACGGGGAACGATGCCTCTGGAGGGGGGCTGAGCCAGTGCGGGCCCACAGCGGCCACTCAGGCACCTGCGTGCAGTATCACCCTTCCCACAGAGAGCAGGCTGGCCAGCAACGGGGCTCTGAGAGTGAACGAGTTCCTCCAGGTAGAGGGTTACAGCAACATCTATGCCATTGGTGACTGCGCTGACATTAAGGAGCCCAAGATGGCCTATCATGCCGGCCTCCATGCCAACATCGCTGTGGCCAACATTGTCAACTCCATGAAGCAGAGGCCCCTTAAGACCTACAAGCCAGGTAAGGAGGCCTGTGTGTGTCACAGTTTAGAGTTTGAGGGTACAAGTGGGGAAATCTTTTTGGGCTCAAGATGACTGATCAGCACACTGAATTCTTGAGGCTGGTGACAGGAACGTTGCCCTGAAGTTCTGTAAAAATCAGTGAAGGAGCTGGGCATGGTGGCACATGCCTGTAATCCCAGAACTCTGGAGGTAGAGGTAAGGGGATTGCAAATTTGAGTCAGGCATGGACAACTTAGTGGCTTAGTGAGATCCTGGATAGAAGAGACAGGAATCCATCAGGGACTCGCCCGCCTTCCTAGAAGTCGTGCTTATTCCTGGGCCTGCAGGTCTGGGAAGGGTTTGTGCTGTGGGAATCGCAGGCTTAGCCCGACCATAACACAAGATTCCACTTTATGTGTGTATGTGTCTCTGCCCCACAGGTGCGCTGACCTTCCTCCTGTCCATGGGCAGAAATGACGGCGTGGGCCAGATCAGTGGCTTCTATGTGGGGCGGCTCATGGTTCGGCTGGCCAAGAGCAGGGACCTGTTTGTCTCCACAAGCTGGAAAACCATGAGGCAGTCCCCACCCTGATGGGAGGCTGGGCAGGAGACATGGCCGTGCTGCGCATGGGAGAGTGACATGTGACAAGTGGGCCCACCTGACTCATGCCAAAGGGCAGAAGCGCAAAGCCTTTCTCTGGAGTGAGACATTGGGGATGTCCTGTCTGGAAATGTATCTTGTGTGAATCCAAAAAGAGAGTGAGAAAGTGAGAAAGATTTAAAAAACCATGTCTAGAGGATCCTTTCTGGGTGTGAAGGGTCTGGCTGTAGCAGCACTGGCTGAAGGGTCTTGGGAGGGGGCAGAGGCAGCCTTCTGTACTCCTGGCTCCAGGGGATCTGGAGTGTGTGTGTGTGTGTGTGCGCGCGCGCACGCGTGCATGTGTGTGTACGCACACTTGTGTGCACACATTTGTGTGCATGGGGAGGATTGGGTGTGGTGATCAGAGCTCTCAGGGTCGGGAGAGAGCTGGGCCTGGTGGCTGCCATCCTGTCCTGTGAGCACGGAAGGACAACCTCCAAAATGAAGCCAGCTGAGCAGGGCAGCTGGGGGACGTGGTGCACGCCACAGCTTTCCCATCACATTAGGGTGGGGAAGCCCCTGATCCTGCAACAAGCAACTTGTCAACAAGAGCCTCATTGTGAACTCTGGTGAGTGCCTCTCTCCCCTCCCTGCTTCCTTCTGTCCCCCTCTTCGACACAGGGTCTCACTGTGTCATGCAGCTTGGCCTTGAACTCCTGGGCTCCTCGCAGCTCAGCCTGTCGGGTAGCTGCCACTACAGGGGCATGCCCCCGCACCTAGGCGATCCCTACACATGTGCTTTAATCTTCACGAACCTTCCTTTATTATATCCTAACTATATACTATAGGTACTTTTAAGACGAAAGTTATACTGCTCCCCTCCTGGCTAGCCCAACAGTGAGCTTCCTGGAGCTGTCAGGGTCGAGGCTGCAGCCTGGCCTATGGATAGGCTGGCAGACCCTGGACCCACTTGGGGGGGGGGGTTAGTCATCCTTAAGGAGCACACAGATTCTGCAGGAGATCCGCGGGGATTTCCAGGTTATTGGCATGGGCAACTCTGTAAAGGACAAAATCCCACTGATGCTGCGGGGCTTTGTTCTGTGCTTCTGGTTTCTTGGTCAGCCCCAGTACTACTTGTCTGCAGGCCCAGTCATGTGGCAGCCTGCCTGCCTGCCGCTGACTGTGGTAAGGTGTCCCCGACTCCTCCAGGTCGAGAGGTCTTCCAGAGTGGAGGGGTCCACATTGGACCACTTCAGTTAAATGTGCACAGCAGAAGAGGTTGCTGAATTCATCTAAGTTCAGGCCTGACTCCAGTCGTCCTTGCTCACTTTTCATGATGGGAGCCATCATGGGTGATGGCTTTTTGGATTCTGGAGCAGAGTCCTCAGACCCCTACCTCTCTGGGGATCTCAGTCCATCCCTATGCAGGCAGTGGTGGCCTAGATGGCCACTTCTTGACCCAGGCCCCAGTGAGAAACACGCCCCTCCCAGATGGTGACTCTGCTGGAAGCTGGGGCTGAGGCTTTGGGCCTGTGGCAGGACCTGCTGCCTGAGCCAGCCCCTGGTGTAGTCACAGGCATATTGCTGCTGACTTACAACATCGTAGAAGCTTCTATCCACTGGGATGTAGTTTTCTAAACAGGAAAAAAATGTCATAATAAAAGAATGTTACAAGAAAGACACTGGATCTTTTTTTTTTTTTTTTTTTTTTTCATTTTTAAAAA